AGCTCCATTGTTCTGAGGGGATCACAATCGCACGCGCTAACGAGAAAATTAATCCTTGCTGCAAATTAGTGCCTAAGATCAGGCTGCTTACAAAACAGCAGCTGATTAAAACCCCCTTTTCCATCAGCTTTATGTGCCTGAGCTTCCAGGAGTTTGGGAGGCAGAACTGAGGAAATCAGAAAGCCAAGGAGAACTGTGAAATTTAGGATATGGTGAACGGGGAAGGCAGAAGAAGAAAAGGAATTAAGGGGGTAAGAAATTAAGGATTTCTCACTCTGTGTTCTCCCCACCTTTGGGGATTATTAGGGAAGAAACACCACTAAATGAGCCACTTAATACCTGACCTATCTCTGCTGGAAAAATTCCTCTTGTCCCAGATGTTGAGACTGAGCTGGGAATAAATATAGCTATGCCTTCTGATGATGCCATTTTAAACACATTCTGGTTCTTTTCTAATTAAAAAAAAAAAGGTGGAAAAATGGACCAAGACTCCAAAGGTAGCAAAGGCACACAGACCTTGCAGCTCTGTGGCAGGTCAGTGGAATTGTCCTCTGTGAGCACCAAGACAGGCAAGAAACCACTAAATCTGAAAAATCAAACGTCCTCACGTGTGTAGCTGGATATTCTGTGGCAAATTCACTTCTAAATATTCCAAAAATCCATGACTGGGGGGGTTTATTTATATCAATGCCCAGGTCAGCACACAAGTGGAAATCACATCGTGCTCTTCCACCTTCTTCCCTCATGCTGCAAACCCCAAATCAACTTCAGGATAACCCAATTCCTCCATTTCCCCCTTTTCCATCTCCTGACCAAGCCAGCTGCATCCTGAGTCCCAAGTGCTGCTGGTTTTTTATAAGGAAAATGGGAATGGAAGGCAGAGGAAGAGCCATTATCTCCCTGGCCATATGGTGACTGCATCAGCTCCTTTTTAGAGCCTTTGACCTCCAGTTTAATCCCAAAAGAAAACTCAGATTCAGCCCTCAGCCACGTCTGGCTCCTGTCCTTTAAAGCCTCTTTGATCCCCACCATCATTTGCGGGGTCCCGTAAAAACCAGGGTGAGGAAAAAGAAGTGGTGACAGCTTGTTTAATTCAAAAAGCTTGGCAATCATCAAATTAAACTGCTTTTCTTCATCTGTGACAAAAGCTGTCGTTGAATGGCCACAGGCTTCAACAGGCCACCAAATTCCACGTTTTTCTGATCAAAATGTTTGCTCACAAAAACTGCATTAAGGCAGAAAAACCCCACAGCTCGCTGCTCCCACGCATCAGCAAATCCTTCAAGGCCAAAGGAATTATGAAGTGGAAAAAGGGACAGGAGATAAATTCTTTGGAGCAATAATAATCCAAAGAGATGGGAGAACAAGGTCAGCTCTCTGGGGGGGAGAGGGGTAATTTGACTTTTCTACCAGCCCAGGATTTATGGGACACACAGGCACCGTCCCCACGCCGCAGCATCCTTGGGAATATTTGGGAGGGGATATTTGGGAGGGAAGTTTTTGGGAGGGAAGTTTTGGGGAAGGAATATTTGGGAGGGAAGTTTTACCAGCACTGCTAAAACCAGCTATTCCTGATGGATATTGCCCAAAAGCAACCTGTCAGCAGGTTACAGAAAATGTCACAGACACCTCAGAGCTGGGTGTGACAGCAGCACAGGGAAGGAGGAGTGACCCTCAGGAATCCCTGGACAGCTCCCAGCTCTGGACAGCTCATCCCAAAAATTCCAGAGGAGCTGGGAAATTCCTGCCCTGGACAGCAGCTCCTCCTCACTGGGGACTCAGCACTCCTTTATTGCTGCTTTCACAACAGCAGAGGTAACATTTTTTTGCAAAAATAATTCTCATTTCATTCTTTGCCATAGGCAGGCTGGATTGGTGTTTGTCCTCTGCCAAAAGCACCAAGGTTCTTCAGGAATATTTGGGAATAAATAATGCTCCAAGCCCCTGGATGCAGCAGCCCTGCCTCCAGTCCTCCTGGATTAAAGCACAAAGCTGAAGGAATTCTTTTTCCCAGGAGTGAAGCAAGGAGCAGGAGCTGATTCCAGCAGGGGAGGGACCCTGATGGAATATTCCATATTCAAGAGGCTGAAAAAAGGGAGATTTACAGGGGGAGCTGGGAAAAAATCCTTCCCTGGGAAGGTGGGGAGGTTGTGGAAGAGAATTCCCAGAGGATTTGTGGCTGTCCCATCCCTGGAAGTGTCCAAGGCCAGGCTGGAGCAGCCTGGGGTAGTGGGAGGTGTCCAGGATGGAACTGGAAGAGCTTTGATGTTTCCTTTATCCCAAACCTCTCTGGGATTCCCTGATTTTGCTGATTCTCTAACCTGATGATGTGACTTTAATATCATTATGAAAGAATTACATCAGCTTAAAGTCTGAAAAAGGCAACTTAACTGATTTTTTCCAGAAAAAATAAATAAGTTTTTAAGTAATCAGCAGGACTGGAAGAGAACTCCACTGAATTTATTGATGACAGGATAACAGCTACAATAATTCTCATTTTTGCTTCACCTCCACTCTTTGTTTCATTGCACCCTTTTCAGTACAAACCAGCTGAATTTTTCTTGTTCTTTAAATTTTTTTTTTTATCAGGAACTGCTGTGAAAAGAGGTTCTGAAAACGAGAGATTTACAAAGCCTTCCCTCCAGTACACAAAATGAATCACCCTGATTGTGTTTCTCCATTATTTTATGTTCACAGCAACCAGGGAAGGGACTTGGAGACCAGAGATGTTCCCAGAAAATGCCACAATGCAACATTAACATTTAACAGCCCAGCATTTGATTGCTCCACAACAACTGAGTCATTAAATAACACCTAAAAAGCCAAATCATAAAAATATTCTCTCTTCTTAAGTAGATATTAAAGTGCAATCTAAGTAAATACAAGGAATGGGAAGATATTTATGAAAAGCTGTGGATTTTCAGTCCTTTCTTTTGGTTCCCAAAACTCTGAATTGGGAGAATTGAGTCTCGTTAAAAGCTTTGTTTTCCTCACAGCATTCACCTTGACTCAGAAGTGGCCCATAATCCATCCCCAGCCTGGAATTACCGCCTTAAATGCTGATTTTATTGGCAAAAAGGGAGTGTTAAACACACCCACGCCACCCACGCACCCTAAGAATGCCTTTGGTGTGAACTGCAGCCTTTTGTGCCGGGTAATTTCTGCTTTTAACTCGAGTTTTTGCACCGCAGAGGGCAGAGAAGCAACGCTGAGCCCTCCTCAGTTCCCCTCTCCGAGGCAGAAAGCTCCCACAAAAATCGGGATAATTGCAGCAGGATCGTTCTGGCTCAGGCTGGGGCTCCACGGAATTATTCCTTTCAGCAAATGGGTTTTAAATCAAAATTATGTTTCCGACAGCTGAGTGAAAGCACGGGTTTAAACTGCAACAAAAAGGCTGAAAAACGAGCAGGATGTTGGCCATTATCAGGGAAAAATGGGATTTTAAAGCATCAATGGTGTCCACACCCCGGGTGATGTGCCCTGGACAAGGACAAGGCTAGGGAAAAAAAAGGGAGAGGGGAAGGGAATTCAAATTATCCCAGGAATGAAGCAGCAAAATTGCAGGAAGGAAGGCCAGCACTTGGAGAAGGACACTGCAGGGAGAGAGCTGGAATGATTCCACCTGGAGAGGAAAAAGCCTGGGGGATAAAAAGTGAGGATTCCAAAACCTCAGGAGGGTTTGATTCCAGCATAATCCAAAGGGGGATGGAAAGAAAGCAGCACAAAATGGTTTTAAATAGGTTAGAGAATAAATAAATGAATAAAATCATTAAATTCCAGCATGGTTTGGGTGGGAAGGGATCTTAAATCCCATCCCATTGCAGCCCTGACACCTCCAACCTTTCCTTGGACACTCCCAGGGATCCTCTGGGAATTCTGTTCTGGTGCCTCAGGATGTGCCAGAACCAATTCTCCAACAAAATTCACTCCTTTTGCTCAATTTTGCAACAAAACTCAACTTCTTTTTGTTATATTCACAACAAAATTCACTCCTTTTTCTCCATTTTACAACAAAACTCAACTCCTTTTGCTCCATTCACAACAAAATTCACTCCTTTTTCTCCATTTTACAATAAAATTCGCTCATTTTGTTGCATTTTACAATAAAATCCACTCCTTTTGCTCCATATCCAGGATAATCAGAACCTGCAGATCCATCCAAAGGAGCCACTGCAATCCAAGCCCAGAGTTCCTCCAAAGAAATTTAAGGGAAAGAACCTCAATTTTTAAAAAATCCACCACATTTAATTCCAAACTCTTCCACAGTCAAACCACACAAAGCTAAAGCTTTATATTATTGAACAAGAACAACGAAATTCAGTTTTTGTGCTGTCAGGAAGAGCATTCCAAGATGAAAAAACAGCATTATTCTTTCATTTCTCGCAGATTTACCCACAGGGCTTCCCAAGCACTTTAAAAAATACAAATAAACCAAACCTGCACAGACCCCTCATGGAATTTTGAACAGGTTGAGAGCAAGAATTTGATTAATATTCTGAATTTCCATTCATTTTAATCTTATCACAGAATACCTCAATATTCTGAATTTCCATTCATTTTAATCTCATCACAGAATACCTTAATATTCTGAATTTCCATTCATTTTAGTCTCATCACAGAATATCAAGTGAGGAAACTCCTTGTGTAGGATGGAAAACAGACTGGAAAAGCCTTGTATAAATCAGACTTCAGGTATTTAAAACAAGAAGCACACCCAGAGCATTTCCCACTCAGTGATATTCAATTAGGCAGAACCTGTAGACATGAAATATTTTGACTATTTAGAATATGATATTTAGGGTTATATTTGGATTATTCATTACCTTGATTTTTTTTTTCCCCCTCACTTTGGATTCTCTTATTATTGATGAACTAAAGGCCGAAATTCAATATATAAAGATATATTTATGAATATAATAAATATATATTAATGGAAAATATATAATAAATAAATATGAATTTAAATAAATATGGATTTTTGAATAAAAAACCAGGTTTACCTCCATGGCCAGAGCTGCTGTTTGCTGGTCATAGTGGTTGAGGAGGTTGGGCATGAAGGTGGTGTTGTAGGGCAGGTCCTGGCACATCCTGAGGATGATGGGCTCGCAGGAGAACAGGCTGTGCCCTCCTGTGGGGGACACCCAGAGCCCCAAAAGCCACAGGGAGCACAGCACCCAGCCCGCAGCCATCCTCCCACCCCAGCAGATCTTCCAGCTCCTCATGGATCCGAAAGTTTCTTCACCAAAATATTTCCTGGCCTTGCTTGTGGTTCCTCCCAGCTGGAAGAGTTTCTGTGTTCAGCATCCTCAGCTCAATCCAGACAGGTTCCAGAAGAAATCTTCTCTTTTTTATCCCCTCTCGGTCCTCTGTGGCGTGAATTAAATATTGAGATTTCAACCACATTCCCACACTGTGGAGCCCATGGTGACAGGGCAGCGCTCCGGGGGCTTCCTGCTTTTTTTCCTGGAAAACCTGGAGCACAAAACACGACAGAAGACACTGAGAAACCTGGAAATCCATGAAAATATTAAAATATTTGACCTCAGTTCCTAAGCTGGCAGAAAAACTGCTTCAAGTTCTCCTACAAGGTCCTTCTGTGAGTTTTAATCCTGATTTTTTTTTTTTAATTTCTGGAGGAAATGAATGGAAGAAAAGCACCCAAAAATGGTGAAAACATGGGGAACATCCTGATTAGGACAAAGTATTTTTAGAAAACCCCACACTTTCAGCTTGGCCACACTGAAACCAGGCTGTTTGTGACTCACTCACACCGATAGCATCTCATTCCCTGCACGGCCTCGGAGCTGCTGAGGAATAATTGTAAAACAAAAACACAAATCCAGTCACCAGCACCACCAAGCCCACAAGTCCCAGCTCGCCACTGCCCAGGGAGGTTTGGCTACCTGGGCTCAAATGTGGCATTTTAATCTGCTTTTTTTTGTTGTTGTTGTTGTCCCAAACCCATTTTAATTGCACACATCCATTCACACAGCCCCAAGAGTACAAAAAAAAGCCCAGTTTTAACAATAATTTTGTCTTGCAATGGTAAAATTTGCAAAATCCAGTCTCTAAGCAGCTGCTTTAAAGTGAATTATTGTTAAAGAAGTAACAGAAAATTAGAAAACCCCAAATATTCCATCAATATTCCCAAAAGCAGGCAACCACAGATCTGAACAGATTCCCAATCTTGAGAGAACAGAGTTTTTCCTCAGAAAAAGTTTTTCCTTTCTGCCTGGAGTGAGAGATAGGAAGGATTTAATTACCAGACATGTGCTGCTGTGCACATTTTTATTTACACAGGCCCATCTTACGGTCAGAAAAATTAAGGTTTTTAACCCTCAGTGCAGTTTGTGGGTTGGACTGGATAATCTCAAAATGTTCTTTCCAACCTAAACAATTCTGGGCTTTTCTGTGAGGGGGGAAAGGGATTGGCTGGAGCTTTTTAGAGACAGGCTGGTTAAAAACAAACATGCAAAGAGGTGGTGGGGGAAAAAAAAAAAAAGACCAAGCTGCTAAAGATAACCACGTTAAATTCAGTTTATTGACAGCTTTGCTTTCACAGGCTGCTTCTCCCTCTCACAGGGGAAGCCGTGGCTGAGGCAGCACTGAAATAAGGGAAAAAATAGAAATAGGAGAAGCTCCAAAGCCAGGAAAAACAAACCATGAGCCAAAAAAAAAAAAGGGAAAAAGAGAACTACCTACACACCTGAAGTGGCAGAAGCAACAGAGCTCAAATCTCAGCTCGTATTCTGAAGGAAATGTTGCTGGGAAGAGTCAACACACCGAGTTTAAAAAGATTCCAATCAACCACAACATTTAACACAAGTTCTGTGTAACCACACCTGGGCTTTGGCCAGTTTCAAGATGATAAGAGCTTGAAAAGTTGTGTCCTTCTGATGGAAGAAATGTAATTTTTCAGGTTGATTTTTCAGTAATTTGGCAGCTCTGGGAAGAAACAAGGAGCTCCACCTGCCAGGGAGCATCACCAGCCTGGAGCACATCCCAGCAGGATGGTCAGGAGGCACAGGCAGATAAAACCAATTCCTGCTCAGTTTTGTGAAGTTCCCTGGCAGAAATACTGGAAATAAATGGTCCCTTCCAACCCAAACCAGTCTGTGACCCCATGTTGGACAAGGTGCTTGATCCCCCTTGGAATCCATTCCTTTGGGTTTAACATTTTAGTAACAGTTGGCCCCAAAAAAAAACCCCAAAAAAAGTTTTTTGAGTTTGTTGGTATCTCCAGAACTCTGGATTCACAATTTTTCTTTTGTTTCTCCTAGGTTAACTCCAAAGGATTTTATTCCCCAGTTTGAGTGAGGTCTCCTCCCAGAGTGGATGAGCAAGGGAATTTTTTTTTTTTCTCACTGTAATTGAGGTGCAATCACAGTGATCTGTAAAAAAAACCTTCCCAAAAAAGGTTCAGAAGCAACCTAAGATGTACTGTGCTCACACCACTTCAAGGCTGCACCACAAAAATTGGGCAAATCCAGGTCAGGATGTGGAATTTTGGGAAGAAGTCCAAGAATACTCCATGGAAATCATATTAATGATCTCTGTGACACAGAAAACAGCAGGATCCAAACACATCCACCTCTCCTCTGCCTTCCCCACAGCCTCAAGCTGAAGAAAAAACGCAAAACCAACGATTCAATGAGCCACAAAGGAAGAAAAAAAAAAGTTTTAACTATGCAAAAAAATTCATATTTAAATAATCATTCGAGTATCATAAATAAAATTAAGAATGTAATTTTAGGAGGAGGGAAATCACATCAAAATGGACAACCTGGCCCTGGGAAAACTGAAATGATTCCGGGTGAAATGAAGCAAAAAGAGAAGGATTCCATTGCGAAAGGAGCCCCGGGTTTTGCCAAGCAGCCCATGGATGATCCATTAATTGGTGCAGACAGATGGGTGCTGTAATAAGCAACCCTCAGTGTCAGGAGAGCTCCTCACCACAGATCCAGTTGGTGCACTCTTTGTTCAGCCTCTGCATAGGAGATTTTGTGGTTATTTTTGTATGTACAGAAAAACAAAACACTTTCGATGACACCCGGGATGAAAAGAGGAGGGGAGGCCTCTCCTCCCACCACAAGCACTGGAAATAAAACGTAGGCAAAAGGAGCAGTTTGTTCCTGTGGTTGTGGATTTTTACATTATTTATCAGCAGGAGAAGCCCATCCAATTCTTGCTGGAAAGGATTAATTAAGACATGCATGGACAATTATTACAACCAGTGAAGATCATGAGGAGAAAGGGTTGATTCCCACAAGGAGTTGTTTTGTTTTTTTTTTTTCAAATACTAAATTTCAAAGTCCCTCAGGGAGCAATGAGGAAAAAGAAAAAACTCGTCAGGCTTTAGAATGAAAGGATGGGATTAATTCCCAGTTATCTATCCCAGAGAAATGGGGAGTTAAAACAACAAACCAGACTCCTCCCGCAGGAGAGGAAAATGTCCTCTAAGCCATCCCCCACCCAATTCTGATCCTGGAGAAAGGCGAGGAACTCATTCATTGCACTTCCCCAGCCCTTTCCCACCCACAAAAGGAGAATAAATTATTCTCCCAACTCCATTCTAATGAATTACTCAGTGGGAAAGAAACTCCAGCGTTGTTCCACTCCTGCACCACACCATAATCCCCCACATCCCCTATTTCAATTAGGAGCAAAGCGGGAGGACGGAAAGGCAGAAACAACCCAATAATTTTCCCATGATTGTCATGGAATCGTGGAATGGTTTGGGTCGGAGGGGACTTTAAAGCTCATCTAACCCCGAGCCCCGCACCTCGGGCAGGGATGGAGGGACAGGTCTGTCACCTCTCTCCGCGAGTTCCTATTCCATGGGAAGAGCCTGGAGAGGGGAATCCTGCAGCTCCCCGGCATGGGAAGCAGGCAGGCTGCCGGAAAGGCTCCAGGAACAAGTGCAGCGGCGGCACCAGCATCCCCTCCATCGCTGCCGCACGGCCGAGGGATCCGGGGAGCGCACGGACAGCGCCCGAGCCCTCAGCGAGGGGCGGTGAGGGACCGGCACGCCCGAGCCCTCAGCGAGGGGCAGAGAGCCACCGGCACCCCCGAGCCCTCAGCAAAGGGCGGTGAGACACCGGCACCCCCGAGCCCTCAGCGAGGGGCATTGAGGCTCCGGCTCCCCCGAGCCCTCAGCAAATCCGGGGAGCGCACGGACAGCGCCCGAGCCCTCAGCGAGGGGCGGTGAGGCTCCGGCTCCTCCGAGCCCCTGTGAGGGGCGGTGAGGCTCCGGCATCCCCCGAGCCCTCAGCAAAGGGCGGTGAGGCTCCGGCATCCCCCGAGCCCCTATGAGGGGCGGTGAGGCTCCGGCATCCCCCGAGCCCTCAGCGAGGGGCGGTGAGGCACCGGCTCCCCCGAGCCCTCAGCGGAGGCACCCGCATCCCCTCCCCGGGGCCGCCGTGCCGCACTACGGCACGGGGAGCCCGGGCCAGCATCCCCGGCCTCACGGGGAGCGGATCCGGCCCGTTCCAGGCGCTCAGGGCCGGCATCCCCCCCGTCCTCCGCCCGCCCGCCGAGCGCAGCACCGGCATCCCCACGCTGCGCTGCCGGCCGCAGGGCGCTGCGTGGCCGCCCCGCCGCACGGCCGCCGAGCCCCGCGGTCGCCTGTCCCCGGGGCGGGCAGGACGAGCCCCGGAGGGCGGCGCGGCCCCGCCGTGTCCCCGTTACCTGCGCAGCTCCCGCCGCCCTCACGCTCCCGCGCGCGCCCCTCGGGTGGCGGCGGCGGCGGCAGCGCCCGACCACGCCCCCGAGAGGCCACGCCTTCGCGCCATAACGCCCCGCCCACTCCCCGCCGCCCAGCCAATCAGAGCGCTTCAGGCTGGTTGCTAGGTAGATCGGAACCCCCGGCCACTCTAACCCCACTGGGGGGCTCTGATTGGCTGGCGCCCCCCGGGGTTTCCATGGAGACGGGATGCGGACGGGCGGGAGAAAGAGGCGGGAGCTGATTGGCTGGCACCGCCCCCCACAGGGTTGCCATAGCGACGGGATGCGGACGTGGGGGGAGGAGGAAGAGGAGGAGGCGGCGTCCGCAGGCGGGAGGAGGAAGGTGAGAGGACACGGGGGACACGCGACCTCCGGGAGGGCGTGGGGAGGGGGTGTCGCTGCGGTGGGGCACGAGCGGACACATCCCAGGTGACACCGTCGTCACAGGGGGACAAGCGCAGCGTGGCACGGCGGGGCGGGGACACCAAACGCTCTGGGAGGTGGCACAAACCCCGTCGGGAAGGCGGAGGGGATAACGGAATCGGGGTGCGGCGAGGAAGGTGGGAAACGCCGGTGGGAATTGTCAGCGGGGGCTCTGCACAGCGGCACAGCCCCCGTGTTCCCGATGTTTGCGTCCTCACAGATCCCGATGGATGGGGGTGCCCAGGTGGCAAGGGGACAAAGGCACCTGGGCTGTGCCAGCTCTGGGGTGGCAGCAGGGCCAGGGCAGTTTGGACATTTGGGTGGTCAGGCACTGGAACAGCTGCCCAGGGCAGAGGTGGAATCCTCATCCCTGGAAATGTCCAAAACCCACGAGGATGTGGCACCTGGGGACATGGATTAGTGCCGGGTCGGTGTTTGGACTTGCTGATGCACCACAGGGGTTTTGTTCCTGCAGAGATGTGCTCAGAAATGGTCAATAAATTGGTTCTGCTCCTGCAGGAGCTGTTTTGGGTACGGTTAAGCAGAGATTAGCCCAGGTAAAGGAAATTATTCCAACATTCCTGGTTAATGGGACGCGATCATTATGGATTGTTGAGCCTTCTTCAACGGCATCACTTTTTTTTTTAAACCATTCTCAAATTCCAGCTTGTCCTGGAATCAGTGGAGGAGTCCAAGTGAAATTTTCCTGCTGTTAGAACGCACCATTCCTGTCTCCTGCCCTGTGAAACTTTGTGTCTCCTTTATATCCAAATTTCTGGGATCCTCCCATTCCAACTGCGAACCATTCCTAGAGATTCTGGCAATTTTGCTCTTTTTAACCCTGCACAAACACAAAACTTGGGGTTTTTTTCCCCCCAAATCTCTTTTACTTTACATTTTTATTTATATTTACCATACCTGCCACCTGCTCCTACATTTCATTTTTTACAATGAAAATAGATTTATTTGTTTTTTTGGGCATTGTATTTCAATATCTTTTCCTCTTTGGGCAACAAAACATTTTCCTGATGTCTATTTAAGTCCTGATCCTTGGTAACCTCCCCTCCTGTCTCTGGCTGCTGGAATGTTTTGGGATCACCTGAGCCTAATTTCATCCTGGGATGTGGGAAGAAGGAGCTGGAGCAATCTCTGGAATGTTATTTTGGGCAGCCAGTCCAAAGATAACGAATCTTGCAGAAGAAAAGTGAGGCCTCGGCTGAGCAGCCTCTCCATCCCAGCCCTGCTCAGAATTCCAGCTGCTTTTCCATGGAAAAAGGTGGAACTGGATGATTTTTAAGGTCCCTTCCCACCCAAACCATTCCATGAATGAGCTCCTAAGCCAGCACTGAGCACTGAAATTTGAGGAATTTCACTAAATACTCCAATATCCAGACAAAATCCAGGCAGTTCTGTGCCTTTTGCAGCTTTATGGAATTATTATGGAATTATTACGGAATTATGGAATGTGACTTCTCCAGGTGACCCACCCAGATCATCAAATCCAAGCCCTGGCCCTGCACAGACACCCCAAAATTCCCACCCTGTGCATCCCTGGGAGCTCTGGCAGCCTTGGGAATGTCACCATTCCCTGGGGAACTGTTCTGGGGGGAGGAATTTATCCTAAAATCCCCCCAAATCCAACCTTTCCCTGAGGTCCTACAGCTGGAGAGAGAAGAGATCCAGGCCTGCCCCTCCACTTCTGCCCACGAGGAACTTTCAGACAGAATTTCCCGGATCCAGAGGTTTCAGACAGAGTTTTCCCAGATCCTGAAGTTTTACAGACTTTTCCCAGATCCTGAAGTTTTACAGATTTTTCCAAGATCCTGAAGTTTAACACAGACTTTTCCCAGATCCTGAAGTTTAGCACAGACTTTTCCCAGATCCAAAAGTTTCAGATTTTTCCCAGATCCTGAGGTTTCAGACAGAATTTCCCAGGTCCTGAAGTTCCGGACACATTTTTTCCCAAATCCTGAAGTTTCACAAAGACTTTCCCCAGATCCTGAAGTTTCAGACTTTTCCCAGATCCTGAATTTGCACACAGATTTTTCCAGATCCCGAAGTTTCACATTTTTTCCAAATCCTGAACTTTCAGACACATTTTTCCCAGATCCTGAAGTTTTACAGACTTTTCCCAGATCCTGAACTTTCAGACTTTTTCCATATCTGAACTTTGACAGACTTTTCCCAGATCCTGAAGTTTCAGACTCTTCCCAAATTCTGAAGTTTCCCATTTTTCTCAGATCCTGAACTTTCAGACAAACTTTTCCCAGATCCTGAACTTTCAGACTTTTCCCAGATCCTGAAGTTTCTCATTCTTCCCAAATCCTGAACTTTCACAGAGACTTTTCCCAGAACCTGAGGTTTCAGACAGAATTTCCCAGATCTGAAGTTCCAGACACATTTTTCCCAAATCCTGAACTTTCACACAGACTTTTCCCAAATCCTGAACTTTCAGACTTTTCTCAGTTCCTGAGGTTTCAGATTTTCCTGGTTCCTGAATTTTCACACAGATTTTCCCAGATCCTGAAGTTTCAGATTGTTCCCAAATCCTGAGGTTTCAGACTCTTCTCATATCCTGAAGATTCAGACAGACATTCCCCAGATCCTGAGGTTTCTGACAGACTTTTCCCAGATCCTGAATTTTTACTCAGACTTTTTCCCAATCCTGAATTTTCAGACTTTTCCCAGATCCTGAAGCTTCAGACTTCCCCCAGATCCTGAACTTTCACACAGACTTTTCCCAGATCCAGAAGTTCTAGATAGAATTTTCCCAGATCCTGAAGTTTCAGACAGATTTTTCCTGAATCCTGAACTTTCAGACATATTTTTCCCAGATCCCGAGCTTTACAGACTTTTCCCAAATCCTGAAATTTCTGACAGACATTTCCCAGATCCTAAAGCTTCAGACTTTTCCCAAATCCTGACCTTTCACACAGACTTTTCCCAGATTTTGAATTTTCTTATTTTTCCCAAATCCTGACTTCTACACAGACTTTTCCCAGATCCTGAACTTGCACACAGACTTTTCCCAGATCCCGAATTTTCATATTTTTCCCAGATCCTGACCTTTCACACAGACTTTTCCCAAATCCTGACCTTTCAGAGACTTTCCCCAAATCCTGACCTTTCACACAGACTTTTCCCAGATCCTGAACTTTCACACAGACTTTTCCCAGATCCTGAATTTTTATATTTTTCCCAAATCCTGACCTTCCCCACAGACTTTTCCCAAATCCTGACCTTCCCCACAGACTTTTCCCAAATTCTGACCTTCCACACAGACTTTCCCCACTTCCCGAGCCCCGTTTCTCCCTCCCCAGGGCTTCCAAAGGCTCCAACCCTCGGAGCTGCTTTGGGAATGTGGCTGTTCCAGCCCCGGGATCCCAAATCCCTGCGGAAACCTGGCACAGGACCGTGGCGTTTGTGACTAATGGCCAAAGCTGTCCCTGAAAAACAGGACACGGGTGCCTGGACCTGTTTTTTTGGCAGCTGAGCTGTTTCTCTTCCCTGGGCACTGAAATTGCAGGGAAACAAAACAGAAACGAGGCAGGGAATGATCCCAAATCCACCCCAAAATCCACCTACTCGCTTGCGCAAGGAGGTGGATGCGAAACCTCGGCGAGTCCTTCAGCTTTTTTGAAATTGGAGAGGTAATTTGTTATTTCAGGAGATTTAGCTCATTAAAAAAACCCAAAAAAACAACAACAAAAAAAAAAACCCTCAGATTTTTGTAACAAATTTATTTCCTGAGCATGGAGAGGAAAATGCAACAGATTTTTTTTTTTAATTTTTTTTTTTAATTTTTGGGGTGTTTTTGTGTTTGGTTTTTTATTTTTAGTTTTTTGGAGTTTTTTGTTTCTTTTTTTATGTTTTTTGGGGGTTTTTTGGTGGGTGTTTTTGTGCGTGTGGGTGTTTTTTTGTTTCTTTTTTTATGTTTTTTTGGGGTTTTTTTTTGGTGGGTGTTTTTGTGTGTGTGGGTGTTTTTTATTTCTTTTTTTTTTTTTCCTCGTTTTTCAGGGGTTTTTTTTGGTTGTTTGTTTGGATTTTTTAAGATACATTTTTTTGACTCTATCATAACTTCAGAAAGGAAGGAAAAATTAAGGAGAAAATTGATGTGCCCAAAATCCTGCAGTGAATTTTGAAGATGAATCCATTGAAATAGAGAGGAATTTTATCTGGGTGAGGAATAGGGGTCTGAGAGTAGCTACAAAAACCCTTTTTTTGGGTGGGTTTTGATGTACTTGGGTTCAGCACAGGCTGGTAACACAATATGGGATTTAATTCATGGATTTGCCCAAAAATCCCATTATCCATCCTTCCACTGTGAAGCTTTAAAGTGATTTCAGGTATTCAGAGAAAAAAAAAAAAAGCAGAATAAATAAATGCAGGGAATGGAATTTTTGTAATGTGGTAAAGAAATTATTTTTCTTTATGCAGGAGAGAAGATGAAGGGAAAAAAAATTCCTTTTTCCTACATTTGGGCAGGGATTTATGGAGAAATTGCTTTGTCTGAACAAAATTCAGATGTTTGGCGTCCCAAAAAGGGGAGATTTTGGGAGAGCTGGAGGTTTTGGTAAATGTCTGATTTTGGGAGATGTCTGATAAATCCGTATTTCTGGAGATTTTGGTAAATATCTGATTTATTTGACGTGGAAATTCCTTTAAAAAATCACGGAGTTGTTAAGGTTGGAAATAAACCTTTGGGATCACCAAATCCAACCACCAAACCACGTCTGCAATTTTTTGGGGAAAACTTCCAGGGATTGTGGAATTCCACCTGTTCAAAGGAATAATCATCAACACTTGTGATGGGTAAAGACATTAACGATGAATTAATGATGAATTATTTATTAGTGCACGGAGGAAATCCCGGAATCCCAGGATGGTTTGGGGTTGGAAAAGAATTTAGGGCTCGTCCCA